CTGTTAATAACACACGGTGTCCTGCAGGTTAATTTTTCGTTTTTGGCCACAGGACACCTAACGTGTGTCTAGATTATTTTAAAACAAGTAGACTGTCTGCTATTTGCTTATTGTTGAAATGTGTCACCAACAAGTCACAGACACCTACTGTAAAGAATGTGGCCCATACATAAAAAACTCACAGTGGCGAGCCAGTCAGGATCTACAGAGGTAAATGGCAGTAGAAGTACATATATAAACAATCGGCAAATAATCTTACATATGCACAGCTGTATTGGTGATGAAAATATTGTAGAGATCACAACCACACTATATAACCATGTCGACTGACTTTAATAAGTGGGTAGAGAGGGGGCGAGTGACTTGGGCTCAAATATGGCGATCTACGAGAGTTTATCAAAGAACAGTAAGACATAGAGAGGAAGAATGGCAGAAAGGAGAGACTAGAAATAGAGAAAATAAGAGTACAAATTGAGATTGCCAAGCTCACCCAACAGAAAGATGGAAGACTCACGAGTTAGTGATTGGCAATATACCAGTCAATAGAAATTTGGAAGAACCAGATAGAAAGGAGACTGATGAAGCCTCGGCAGACAGCACAATAGTTCAAGAAAAGCAAGCAAGACATCAAGCTTCTGCAAGTCTGGAAAGGTGACATCCCGAATGTAAGTCCACGGGAATTGAAGGAAGTACAGGAGGATAGCTGTGCAACAGAGTAGCTGTGGACTTGAATGGACCACTAGCACCAAAAAGATAGAGACAGAGAGAGTGGCAGAAGCCCTCCTGAAAGTGTTCTGCAAGTAGGCTTTCCAAACCAAAAGAAGTATCGAGTGACAGGGGGGGACCAGTTTACCTCAGAACTGATGCAAGAGGTGTGCAGACTTATCAGCACGAAGCAGCTCTTTACCACCATGTACCTCCCCAGATGTAATGTACTTTGTGAGAGGGTCAATGGAATCTTAAAGAGCATGCTAAAGAAGATGTGCCAGGAGAGACTACATGACTGGGACAGGTACCTGCAGGAAGTATTAATTGCTTACCAAAAATCCCCCCAAGAGAGTACCGGAAGTGACTCTTTGAGTCACTTTATAGAAGAACAGTACGAGTTCTGATGCAGATATTGATAGAACTATGGACAAGATAAGAAGAGTCAGAAGTGATGAACACATACTAGTATGTGTTAGACCTCAGAAACCAACTGGAGGAGACCTGGCAACTCACTCGAGAAAGTTTGTATGCAGCTCAAGGCAGTCAGAAGCCCTCTGTGACAAGATCGACAAAAGGTCTTGTTTCTGCTACCCATAGGCAACAAGAAACTCACCCTGCAGTGGAAAGGACCTTTTCAAATGCAGGAAGATGTCAACAGGATATATTATACATAAAAGTGGGTGGGAAGACCAAAATGTACCACACTAATCTCTTGAAGAGGTACTTGGAGATGGAAGAAGACCTAATGAGTACAGCTATTGAGGCACAGATGGGCATTGCAGGTGTGGCTGTTATAGATGCAGAACCAGGAGATGGTGACTTTGCCATAGAAGATAAAAACCTGCTGGAGCTACAACTGCTGGGTGGTGATGAGGCATAAAAGACATCAACATGTGTGAAGAACTGACTGGCAAGAAGAAGAAAGAGCTACAAGATCTACTGTGCCAGTACACAGAAGTCTTCACAGATAGACCAGGCAAGACAGACCTTGTGCAACACAAGATCGAGACCACGACCATGGATCCAGTCAATGAGAGACCTGATCAAGCAGGAGGTTGAGGTAATGTTAGAAGCCATAATCGTTGAGCCTTTAAATTCGGCCTATTGTTCGCCAATGGTAATCGTGAATAAGAGGGGTGGCTCAGACTGCTTCTGCACAAACTTCCGAAAGATGAACCTATGGGAAACCCAGAGGCTATCATGGCAAAACTAGATTGGGCCAAGTTCTTTACTAAGATCTACCTCAGTAAAGGTTGTTGGTTAATCCCAATGGAGAAAGAATCTAAAAAGAAGACAGCCTTTGTGACACCAGACCGATGTTACAAATTCAGGGGGATGCTGTTTGGGTTAGTCAACTCAGCAGCGACATTCAACCACATCTAGCATTATGTGGACAACATTCTGACCCATACAGCTAGATGGGAAACCACCTGAAGAAACTCAGAGAGCTGTTTGGATGAGTGAGGGCAGCAGGTCTAACCATCAGATCATCTAAGTGCTACATCAGTTATTCTGTGCTAGACTTTGTTGGACACAGATAGCCATGGTAGAGGAGAAACTAACCCATATACAAGAGGCACCAGCTCCAGTAACCAAGCAGTAAGTTGGATCCTTCTTGAGGTTAGTAGGATGTCATAGGAAGTTCATCCCAAAGTATGCTGAAGTCGTTGCATCACTGTCTGACCTGACCAATAAAGTGAAGTGGGAACAACCATAGCATATGGCATTCCAGAAGTTAAAGAATATGTTAGGAAGTTTGCCAATTCTTAGAATGCCAGATTTCAATAAACCATTCATCATTCACACCAGTGCATCAGATGTTGGAGTTGGAGCAGTACTTCTGCAAGAACATATAGATGGACTATTCCCCGTAATGAGTGTCATTAAGAAGTTGTTAAGTAATAAGAACTACTTTGTGACTGAACAAGATTGTCTGGCCATCATATTTGCCATCTGGAAATTCTAAAACTACCTCTATGGGAAGGAGTTCATCATCCAGAGGGACCATCAGCCCCTTGCATACATCCAGAGGTACAAAATCGACAGTGCGAAGATCATGAGGTGGGCATTGTACTTCCTGAATTACCAGTTCTAAATTGAAACCATCAAAGGGAGTGCAACTGTTGGTGCAGACTGTGTGAGTAGACTTTGTATAGGAACTGAAATCTGTGTTTGTATATATTTTCCTTGAAGAGATGCTTATTGTTAGATATACATGACTGTTTCCATTTAAGTTTAATGTGAGAGTTATGATTTAGATACTTATTTAGTTCGAATGTTAAATTTAGTTATTTTTAGAAGTGATAATTTATCGCAGGTTTGTTTACTTAACTTTTTATGAATCATACATTGTGTAGTTCAATTGTTGTGAGTTGACGATTGTTGTATTATTGCATCATGTTACTAGAACCTTCTAAGTTTTCGTCGTTGTTTTAATTGAGTATTAAAGCATCATAGTATTTTGTTGTGTGTGGAACGTTCTAGACCTCTGTTGGGCTATACATAAGTGTTCAAAATATAATTCTAGTTAGTTAGTTTTATAGATATAGTTAAGTTAGATATAGACTGCATGATTGTGAGTTTAGCCATAAAAAGCGTGTAGTGGCGATTTTTTAAGGTGATATTATCACACATTGTATTGTAATAACGTAGTAGAGAAGAATAATTCGTCTTGTCAATTATGTTCTAATGTAACTGAACCAGCCTCTGTGGAATTTGATGAAAAAGAGATAGTTATTTGAAGCTCTGGATACATCTATGATAACCAACAGTGTAATGAACATTTGTAAATATGACTTGTTTTAAAATAATATATTATGTATGCTGTTTGTTTCTTGTTGAAATTTATCGCCAACAAGTCACAGTCACCTACTGCAAAGAATCTAGCCCACACATAAGAACCTGACATCGACATGCTAATGTTTTTGGTTGTACTATGTTTGTCAATGAAAGCTAAACCTGTGATGTAGTAACTGTTATACATATATATTTCCTGTTAATATACCAATAAGGTATTTGAATGAGGCAGTTCCCAGTATGCACTCTTCTTCAATGTAAATTGCCCACATACTATGAGGTGTAGAGATGTTTCCTGGAGTAGAGACAACTTCCAGCTTTCTTCATGGTGGAACTTTAATATCCATTTGCTGTTTGCATCAATTCATCTTCTTTCTTCATTTCTGGAGGAAATTTCCCACCTCTACTTACCAAATTGGACTGAATTATTGTAGCTGTAGACCCAGTGTTGACCAACATACTGCAAAATTTCCCTTCAATAACCCCATGGAATTGTTGACTGATTTCATTAAATAATTATCTTCTTATCTCATTTTGGGCAGATAGTCTTTTCATATGAACTTTCCCTCATAATTTCAACTATTTCATATTTTTCTAGTGTTTGGCTTTCTCTGTTTTTCTTTGATCTCATTGGCTTAAAGACTCATCTTGTTGTTGTTTCCTTGTATTAAGAGCTGTTGGTTTCGCAGAGTATTGGCTGTAATGGCCAAATTTCTTATGTTCACAGTTCTGGGCATTATGTCCTTTCAAGTTACTTTTAAGAAACCTTATGTCTTGGGAATTATTTCCTCCATTCCATGTGTCTAATGTTTTTTTATGCCATTGCCAGAGACAGTTGATATTTCAATATTACCCGATATGATGATACCATAACTTCTAGATAGTGGCTTCAGTAGCAAATTTAATAGATTTATTTTACATTTTCAACTGGAGAACTTCTTCTAAATATGTACATCTACTTTGCTTTAACCTGATTATCATGTCCTTGTCTGTTATGTCATCTATGAATCAGTCACATACTAACAAATCCATCATTTCTCAAGGAGCATCCAGGTAAGCTAATTGGATAAGCATTTCCAAATGTTCTGCAAGTTCAGCTCATATCTCTTCTTCCTACCATTCCCTACTACCAAGCTTTATTGTGGATATTTCCTTCTGGCATGTGTTTCACTGAACCTGTTTGATAGTTTTCATGGCTTTCAGCTGGAAGGCTACTTCATGATGTTAAAGCTGGTCCGTTTAAATCGGCAACAAGATTAATAGCTTAATGTTCACCATTCCAACACTCACTCTGGAAATTATTTTCAACTGAGCCTGAAATGCCTCTCACCATGCCTTTTCACCACAGTCCATTGGTTTCTAAATTGGGCAATGTTGTTGGACTGACTAACTAAATCCTAGAAGTGGCTCTGGTGGTGACATAAATGAAATTGACCGGAATATACAAGAATAGTTTAAAGTTACCTACTTGAACCAAATTATCGCATACAGAAAAGTGTCCATAGTAAAATAAATAATCATGAAAACAAGATGTGCAGTGATATAGGTATATCTTGGATATAGTGAATTAAAAAAAACTGCACGATCAGTTCGAAACATTACATGCTACTAAGTGAGCACATATTAACCAAACCGAACCTAGATGACATAGAAATGCACTATGCTTATCCGCGTCGTTGATGTTTTGTTTTTGTTTTTAACAATTTTAGGATGTAACTCATAGTAAAAAAAAAAAAAAAAAAAACTTTCACACAACGTGCTATTTCACGAGAGAAACACATAAGAAAGGAAAGATTGCTCAACATGAAAATCAGCTCGACGATGAGAACTTGACGCCTTTGCCACCAAAACCTATTAAGTGTTGTAAAATGCGAATACCGAAGAAGATATAAGCACTCAAATTAAGTCGTCTGTGGTGCATAACACGCTTTTGAACAGTAAGTGAACGACAGTCGTGTATTGAGTAACTACAACTTAAGTTGGCCTAACGTATGAAACTGGATACTTCTAAAGAGAGAGTCGAATTACCATAAAAATTACAGGTTTCCCGCTCCCTCTACTCCTTTTTTTTTTCAACTATAATATGTTGATGAAAACTAAACTGATTTTTGCCATGGTAGTTATGTATTGTTAGACTTTTTGTTTTGAGGATATAGACTCAAAGTCAAAACAATGATATATGTAAGTTGTAACTGTAATATGTGACTCTGACCTTAACTGTTTGCTGTTTGCAAAATTTTATACTTTAGTCTTTACTGACGTAAATTATAATACATTCAAATAAACAGTACTCTTGTCTACCTGATTCATTTGTTTATCACACATATCTGTTATAAATACAAGTATTCGATTTAATAAGACTGATGAGTATTTAAATGTTTTTTAGATTAATTGATTTGAATTTACAGTATTAGCTTCAGAATTTATAAAAAATATCGGGAATAGGCACTACTAAAAAATAAAAATTTCTAGTGGCATTTTTTCATGCCAGGAATCACTATTTGTTCACACAAGGGAGTTTTAAATATTTGTTTTCTAAATTACATGTTTTTTACTTTAAAAGTTAGATATTTAAATGCATTTATGATATTGATCCTTACAAGCTATCTTGATATCTATTTTTTTTTAACAAAAAATGTTATTTTCTTATAACGTCTTTAAGAAAGCACATATTTGGATATGTTAATTTTCAGTGTAATAAAGTTAGTACATTTAATTTATCTAGGACTATGGTTCATTTCAAATTAAAACAGTACTTATGTTCAAGTTTAATGGCTATTTTACAGTTTTTGTACTTTAAAGATGCTGTGAAGCTAAGTAGTGCAATGATTTAAAACACCAGTTTTAAACTTAAAGTATGTAACAAATACAAATTTTGAATTCCAAAAGCAAGTTTCTGTTGTTTTATTCAGTGACACTAACAAAGTACAAGATATATGAGCTGAATTGAAGGTCTTCAGAAAGTCAGAATAACTTCTAAAATGTTATATGTATAATACAAAAAACATTTGATGATGCTAAACTATATGAAAAACTTTAAGCTGTCAAAAAATATTTATTGACAAACTAAAAATATGCGAATGCATTACAGTAGCCTTCTACTTCAAAGGTAACTGTAATTAGATGTATAATTTGTGTGATATAAATGCAAGTCTCCTTAGTCTGTTAACTATTATTTATAACATCAATAATCTAAATATTCTAGAAATGTTTTGTCATTTTGAGATACACTGGAACATAAACATTACTTTTTTATTTTTAAGACATCATGACTTTACCTCCTTTGGATTATTCCTTTCGATTCCTGACTTCTATTCTAGGTAAGTGGGTTTTTGTTGAATTAATTAGCATGTATTTCTTGTCTTTATATACTTTCTGAAAAGCTGTTTCAGTTGTTTTTTTTTATCCAGAAAAATTACTTTCAGTGTGTTTATCATTTTACTTATAACTTGTGTTATGACCAACAAGCAGATGAATATATTGTATGCAAAGTTAATAAAAATAATGCACAGTTGATAACCTTGTACACGATTCTATCAGATCGTTAACAGTATCTTTAGTTATTAAAACCTGTGAAATGTGAATAATTAAGAAGCTATAAGCACTCAACTCAGCTATGGACATCTGCAGAAATTTTTCCAGTGAGGGGCAAAGTTTTCCAGGGGGTGGCAAAGTAGTGTGAAATTGTGAATTGAATAAAAAGATTTGTATGCATATGCTGAATGAATAAAGAAAAAATTATGTTTCTCAATTATGGATGCCCATGAACTCAAGTTTCTTTAAGATCTTTGCAAAATATGTCAAGATCATTAAAGATCTTGCAGGGTCTTCACGAGATGTTACAGTTCTTGCAATATCTTGATAAGAAATTTAACAAGATCTTGTAAGATTACTTTTTATTATCCTGATATTTAAGATTTCTTTATATGACCAATGTAGAAGTTGTCGATAGGGTGAAGATTGGGGAACATCTGGGTGCAAGTTATCATTGCTTAATTAGGTTTGACGTTTTGCTGCATATGGATATAAGGAATGACGAAATCTGGTTCCAAATCTCAAACTTTGAATGGTTGAGATAAGTATTGTGTGATATAAATTGGGCCAATGAATTAATTGGAAATACTGATCAAATATGGAAATTGTTTTAAAATTAACTCTTAAGTATTCAAGGTAGATGTTTTCCTTATAGAATAGAAAAAAGTTGCTGGAAATAGAAGTATATCAAGCTGGTTTTCAAAAATAAAATTGAAGAAAACCATTATAAATTTAAGATATTGAAATTAACTGTGATGATGGGAGCTTTAGAAGATCAAAAGAGTTGGTCAAATGAGAAATTAGGAAATCAAAAATTTTATTGAAAATGTTGAAATATATAGTAAGGATTTCTTCAAATACATTAAAGGTATACAGAATGAGGAATGATACAGAATGAGGAATGATACAGGATGAGGAATGATACAAAATGAGGAATGATACAGAATGAGGAATGATACAGAATGAGGAATGATACAGGATGATACAGAATGAGGAATGATACAGAATGAGGAATGATACAGAATGAGGAATGATACAGGATGAGGAATGATACAGGAATGATACAAAATGATTCCTCATTCTGTATCATTCCTCATCCTGTATCATTCCTCATTCTGTATCATTCCCGATACAGAATGAGGAATGATAAAAAATGAGGAATGATACAGAATGAGGAATGATACTGGATGAGGAATGATACAGGATGAGGAATGATACAGAATGAGGAATGATACAGGATGATAATGGGATGGTTGGGTTATTAAATTGTACTTTTTCTTCAGTACTTACCAATGAAGATTTAAGCAATATTACTTAATTTGAACTGTTGTTAGATCGAACAAGATGATCACATTAATTCTGAAATTGTCAAGAAAAAATTGAGAAGTTTAAAGAGTGGTAAAGCTCCTGGACCAGATAATATTTACACAAGGATTTTGGAATTTAATTAATGTTACTACACTTTTCAAGTGAGCTGATAAAAACTGTTCCACTCATTATAGGCCTATTAGTTTCATGTCAGTAGTGGGAAAAGTTTTTAAACATGGTTTCACTTAGGAAAAATCTTGTCTAACTAATCTTCTACCATTGTCATGAGTGGGGTCTCTCAGGGCTCAATGTTAGGACCTTTGCTCTTTTTGATTTACATCAGTATTATAGATGAAGGAATGGTCAACAGATTATGTAAATTTGCTGACAACATTAAAGTTTTGGGTGCTGCTGCTGTTATACAAGAGGATTTGGATTATTTAATGAATAAACGGTAGATGGTTTTAAGTACAATAAATGCAAGAATATACATGTAGGACATCACAGAATAAATTTGATGGGAATAACCTTAAATGTGTTATGGAAGAAAAAGATGTTGGTGTTCTGGTTCATCAGCCTCTTGAGAAAACTATCTTAGTAGCAAGGCAAATAGCATTTTGTGTTGATCCATTGAAATATTGAATACAAGTCTAAAGAAGTTATAAAGTCATTGGTTTGGCCACGTTTGGAATACTCTGTTCAGTCTCGGGTTTCTTACCTTAGAAAGGACATTGAATTGCTGGAAAAGGTTCAGAGAAGGGATAACAGAATGATACCTTAGATGAAATGGTCAAGATCTATCAAATTGCTTTTTCTTGAAGAAATGAGGGGATTTGACTGAAGAGTTTAAGATTGTTAAGAGCATTGATTGATAGTGTTGATGCATCATCTTTCTTTGTACTTGATGGTAGGGTAGGAATCATCTTGAGCTGAGTTAGCTTTATTTTACTAACAGGGTGGTTGGCCTTTGAATTGGTTTGCTTCAGATGTGGTAGATACAGTGAATTTAAGGGAAGCCTTAGTAAATATAGCTGGCTTTGAGTGTTTTATTTTTATTTTAGAGCCTAGTATAGTGGATGGGATAGCCTAGATGAACTAAGACTTCCTCTGTTGACCTGAAATTATATGTATATTGGACTACCAATAAAGGATACTTGTAAGATTTGTAGTTAATCCTACAAGAACTTTCCAGGCAACAATCTTGTACAAGATCCTATCAAATCTTTAATTGGATCTCAGGATTTTGGCCTAGTTATTAGTATATCTGGCCTTTTTGAAAAACAACATTAAATGAACTCTAAACATTGATGTAATAAATTTTTATTACACAATTATTCAACTCAGTGTAACAAAATGCTTTTCTGAATTTTACTCCATGTCAAGTCTGAACTTGTTCCAAAATCTTCAAACTTTTGATGACAGTAACATGTTAGAATATATGAATTAAGAAAAATACATAAACAATTAGTACCTCTTCTATAAGAAAAATACATCAACATGTATATTTCATATAGAAGAGGTACTAATTGTTGATGTATTTTTCATATAGAAGAGGTACTAATTGTTTATGTATTTTTCTTATAGAAGAGGTATTAATTGTTTATGTATTTTTCTTATAGAAGAGGTACTAATTGTTTATGTATTTTTCATATAGAAGAGGTACTAATTGTTGATAGAAGAGGTACTAATTGAGGTACTAATTGTTTATGTATTTTTCAAATAAAAGAGGTACTAATTATTTATGTATTTTTCATATAGAAGAGGTACTAATTGTTTATGTATTTTTCATATGTATATTTCATATAGAAGAGGTACTAATTGTTGATGTATTTTTCATATAGAAGAGGTACTAATTTACATAAACAATTAATACTACTTCTATATGAAAAATACATCAATAATTAGTACCTCTTCTATATGAAAAACCTTTGCAATTGCAGCTTGACATTTATAATAATGAAAAGAAAATTAACATTAATAAGTGCCTGATACTTGAAAATAGGGAGTGTAAACTATCCTGATTTGTGATATATTCATATCATATAGTACAGAGATGTATTAGTGCCAGATTTGAGTTTTAAAACATTTATTTGCTTGAAAATACCATATAATAATATCAAACATTAAAATTCTTTTAACTGGACTTTTCAGAAGCACAAAGTGAAGTGCCACAAGGAGGCCTACGCAAGCTTAAATATGTTAAAGAAAAAGGGAAAATTGATACAAAGGCTATACGTTTTAATAATAATAATCTTGTCACATCCAGTGGTTTAAAAAGCTTTGTCGATAGCCTGTTATATGATCCTGAAAGGCTGTCTTGGCTGGATCTCAGCTTTAACATGTTAAATGCTGTTGAAGAGGTAAGACCAAATAATCATTAACTTCCTTAAATGTCAACGTATGTTTATCTATGCATTCATGCTGAAGTAAATTACACTTGGAAGTGAAGAGAAATTTTGTATAAACAGTTGTGAACTGTGTTTATAAATGCTGTTATTGATAATCTAAATAATGTTAAATTTGCACTAATTGGTACTAGTTTTATTGCGTGTATAATTTTGTTCTCCATGTGCTGAAATAAAACTTCTCTGCATTCGATTTAGGTCTGTTTAAGGCCCGGCATGGCCAGGTGGTTAGGGCTCTCGACTCGCAATCTGCGGGTCGTGGGTTCGAGTCCCCGTCACACCAAACATGCTTGCCCTTTTAACCATGGGGGCATTATAATGTGATAGTCAATCCCACTATTCATTGGTAAAAGAGTAGCCTAAGAGTTGGTGGTGCGTGGTGATGACTAGCTGCCTTCCATCTAGTCTTTCACTGCTAAATTAGAGATGGCTAGTGCAGATAGTCCTTGTGTAACTTTGCATGAAATTCAAAACAAACAAATATTTGTATACTAATTATTTCTTCTATTCCATATTTTATTGTAAATGGTGTTTTAGGTTGTGATTCTTTGGCAGATGGAGAAAGAGGTGTGATCTTTTCTTTTACCAGTTCTTTATTCAAATGTTCTGTTATTGATGCTCGTGTCTACTGTTATAACCTTTCTGTCTATTATAAGATGTCTTTGTTTTTACATCATTGAAATTGTTTTTTATACTTCGTAAAACGTTATAATCCCTCTGTATGTTCCCAATATTTTTATGGATCTTGTCATGAATGAGGTGTATTTGCATTCTTAATTCTTCTTCAAATATTATGTGTTTCTTTCAACTTATGCCTCTTACCTCTTGAACTTTTAATTTTTTGCATTATTCTTCATATTTAAGTTTTCCATCTCTTTCTTCTTTGTTTTCTTTCTTTATTTCTAAGTTTTCGATCATACTTTTTGCCTAGATTGTCATCTTCATGTATGAAGTTCAGACACAGTTTTATGTTATTTTCACCAAAATAATCCTTCTTTGATCCCAGTGCTGTAACTTGGCAGTTTTTTTTGTCGCATGGTACAAAATATTATCAATTCTAGTCCAGTCAACAATATTTCTTTCTTTCCTTTATAACATTTCTACAGGCTGTGTTTACTTTTTAGCATAATGTATTTTATGTTATTCTAAACTTTTTAGCACATGGATATTAAGACTTGATTAACTTGTATTTCTGGAAGATTTATGTTTTGTTGTACACTGCTCCACATGTGAACGTACGATCGTATATCCATGTATACATTTATCAGAATTAAAATCAATATTTTATTTGATTGAATTAAATATTAAGTGATATAAAATTGTAAGTGTAAGAGCTTTTTCTCATATACTGTAATGTTTATTTTTTAAACTGTTATTAATATGAGCAAGTTCAAATGTTTATATAATGATTTTTGGGACTTTGGTAGAAGTTTAACTAGAATTAGTCTTGTGACAAAGGTAAGATAAACTCAAACAGTAAAGTTATTTCTCTCAGTGTTTATATAATGATGCCTTGTATCATTATATAAAAGTTTATTAAACTGTCAACAAAAATAGGTAAAGTTTTCATGAAAAACACGACTTCTCTATTAAACCTAATGAACATCATTATTGGTTTTATACCCAAAATTGAATTAACGTGTAGTATATAAAATCTCGTGCAGTTGTAGCTTAAATTATATTGGACAGACAAGTAGAAATTTGAAGTTTTGAATTAATGGGCACAAAAATGCTGTCGAAAAATTTAAAACTAGTGATTCGGTCATGGCGGAACATGTGGCAAACTCTTTGCATAACATTGAATGAGATAAAGTTCGAATACTTAAAGAATTTAAACTAAAAAATTAATTAAACATAAGAGAATCTCTGGAAATTGCTAAACATAAAATGATTTTGAATAGAGATCTAGGCCCGGGTGTCGCAGAAGTGAATTTTTGGAAATCTAATCTGTGGATGGCACTGTATAGATACGAATCTTGTACGTTCTCTCGTTTGTATAAAAATGAAATTTTCCATGTTTCTTCTGGTCTCCTGAAGATGAGTGAATTTTTTCCCACCAAAACATGTGGAGTTTTAATTGTATGAAAATGCACGATAACTTATCATATAAAGTTAAAGGCAAAAGTAAACGTTGAACTTATTTTACATTGAAGGTGTACTTTCTTTTATTCTTCATGAATTGCTTTGATATTACTTGAATAAGTAGCAATCTTTTTATGGTAGTAATCAAAGTTAAAAAACGGGTTGTTATTGAAAAAAGAAATAATTTACTAACACGGTAATTAAAGAATGCATCTGAATGATTGAGTTGCAGAACGACAGCAATATATTGGTAGTGCATTATTATATTCTTATGCCTGAACTGCAAAGGAGTCTTTTTTTTTTCTAATATATTTTACTCGATATAGAATATAGGCAGACTTTCATATATCTTTTTTTTAGGACATTACTCACTTCAAGAATCTAATAATCCTTTACCTACATGGGAACAACATAAAATCGTTTTCAGAAGTTGGAAAACTATCTGTTCTCCTTAAGTTATCCACTCTCACTCTTCATGGAAATCCTTTAGAACTAGAAAATGGTTACAGGCACAGAGTTTTGGGACATCTTCCACAGATTCGTAGTTTAGATTTCAGTGGTGTTACTAAAATTGATAAGGAAATTGTAAAACAATGGAAAACAAAAAGTACTAAAATGTATAAAGATAGTTTTCTTAATACTTAAAATGAATATAAATATGTGTTGTCGTTATATATAAAACAAAAATTTCTGTTTAAAATCAGGTTAAGAGCCACTGTTATGGAACATAAATTTTGACACTTCTACATCCAACATAATGCTCGTAAGGGAATTTTTCACAAAACTTATAGCTGAAATTCCATGTTGTTTCAGAGTACAAGATGTCGGAACAAGTCTGTATCTGAAGGTAGAGTACCGTGTCAATCTTGTAAAAAAGTTTCTGTTAACAAAATTGGAAGAACTTTAGATACATGAATTGTAGAACATAAGAAGTACGTTAGAGATTATCAAACAATTGATGCTATTTTTCTATAAATGAAAAAGTATATTATCAAAATAACAGAAAATCAGCCGGATTAATACATGAAACTAGAAATTACATCAAAAGAGGAATTGTGGAAAACTCTCTAATCCAAATTTAACACCCCCCCAAATGTAATTTTAAGCTGAACCCCTTTCTGACATCTTGTGCCTTGAAATAAAATAAGCTCTCTATATGTGTGTGTAATTTTTTCACAAGAAAATGTTGGATTGAAGAAGGTCATTTGTATAGTGTGTGAATTCTAAAGAAAATTATCGTATTAAGAATTATGTATTCACAAACTGCATATCGTATGATATACATTCTACCTTATTGTTAAATGGAGAAAAATTTTATGGCAGTTAAGGCTATAAAATTTGCTTTTGAAATAAAAGTATTGGAAGTACTTCTACCTCATGACCACTAGATTTACAGGTAATGTTTGGAATAAAGTCATCAGACATAAAACCAAAAATCATTCAGTCCAAAGTAGTTTTTGATAATAAACGATTAATTAAATAAATTAACTTCACATTTGGATATTATTTTCTGGTACTGGAAGATCTTGAGAAGGTCAAAGTTTTGCTCAGAGTTACTGGCACTCTGATAAACTCATTGCAGTCAGTGTTGGAAAGTGGGAAATCCTTTACAAGTTAACAGTTATTTCAGAACTCAGGCTATTATTGGCTTATCTCAAGGTAAGAATTGAGGTATTCAGTGTTCTAAAGTTGTTGTTTTTTATATTAGTGTTAAAAGCTTCGAGTGAATTTAGCCTCTGATAGATCATAAACTTAGTTAGCTATGTAAAGCTAAATGTCACAGTCACTCAAGCCACAACCTGATCTTTTCTAAGAAAAACGACCGAACAAGTCACGTATTTAATATACTATACTGTGTACATAAGGTTTCATAATTTCTGCCCTCTTACTGCCAAAAATATAATCACATTTTACACATTGGGGTCGTGTGTGTGTGATAAGACGTGGTCAAATCCCACTACTCCAAAAAGAATTGGTGGTGGGCAGTTTTGGCTAATCGTATTCCCTCTAGTCTATCATTTCAAAATTAAGAACATCTAGCACAGATAGCCTTTCAAGTAGCTTTGCTTAAAGGCCGACAAATAAACAAATTAAAAAGAAAAGTTATTAATTTTGGAAGTAGCACCTTGCAGCAGGAATAATGAGCAGTTCACACTTCTACTGCAAGACTGTGGTGGCCTCAAGCAACTATAAATATGTTGGTACAGGAAGGTTCCATATGTTTGCTACCACTTTAGTTCAAATGTAAATGTGTTCAATTGGGATGTAGAAAGGCACTCAAGTAAACAACATAACTTCCTGCTTTATCTGCACACGAGACTATGAACCACTAATTGGTCATTAACCATGTTTTCTTGCAGGAAAGATAGCTGCTACTGTTTTTAAGAGAGTGGACTACAATAACGTGGAACCCGGCATGGCCAGGTGGTTAGGACGCTCGACTCGCAATCTGCGGGTTGCGGGTTTGCATCCCCATCCCACCAAACATGCTCGCCCTTTCAGCCGTGGGGGCTTTATAATGTGATAGTCAATCCCACTATTCGTTGGTAAAATAGTAGCCCAAGAGTTGGCAG